TTAAGAGCAATCTCCTTCCCCTCATCTTTCAGTTTCACACACTCCCAGACCTTTTGTCGTTCTTCAGGTGATTTGTAAGGATAAATATGCAGATTACCGCTGGCCTTCAGATCTTTAGCATAAAATTTTAGCTTAAAACAGGTCATGTAAGTAAACCAACTGGTCCCACTTTCAGCCCTCACAAACTCGTAAGATTCTCCTGCCTAAAGAGACATATTGTACTTGGCTACAAATTAATAAAATCGAGACAGAGTAAAGATATCAAGGAGATGCATTTAGGTGATGGGCATTTATTAACATAAGTGTTTTTCCATGTAATGGGATAAAGCCAGCTTGCAGAGTTCAACAACTTCTTCACCTTCTAAGTCTGCATGGGAAGGTCTGGAATTTTACTACCCCTTGGCTAATAAAATTAAACATGATTTTAAAACATGTTATTTTAAAATTGAAAACAGCTCAAAATATGTCATGTTTAAATAATTTTAAAATAATTTGGTAATTTTATTAGTAACAAATATACACCTATTATTATTAGCTGCATTTTAAAATCCTGTTTAATTTTAAAACAGGCTTGGTTGAGTTCCTAGATGGTGAATTCCCAAGGGGCATGTACGCCTTTAAGCCGTTCCAAGAGTTGATCTCAACCAACTCTTGGGTAAGGCTGAAGAAATTAATTTACCAAATTCAAATTGTTACAACAACTTTTCAGTTTCCTGATTAATTCCATTCCATTTCAGATGTTGTCGGAAGTATTGTTCTATTCACGTACCACCACCACAAGAGAACGATGGTGATATTCAGAATTTGATTGAAGTTGTGTTGGAAGATCCTGAGTGAGTGAATAAATTGAAGTAGTCCCTGAAGTAGATCCTGAGTGAGTCAATGAAATTAAGGGGCGCCTTACCGATTGCCGCTGAACTACTCCGAATAGTTGTTACATTTGGATGGCAAATGAATTACATACTTTATACTTGTACAAATTAAATAAAATAATTAAAAACTATTATTAAATAAAAAAATCGGTTCGGTTCGGTTTGAACCGATTTTCAATCTCAAAGAACCGGTTCCGAACCGATTTTTATTCGGGTCCCAACTTTCGAGTCCCATTCAAGTCGTTCGGTTTCGGGTCGGTTTTTTTATCGCCCGGTTCAGTTTTTTTCGGTTTTTCGGTTAAAAATTCCAGCCCTAGCTAAGATGGTCATTGTCCGTGTTTTTTCAACTCCGGGCAGCATGCAACAAATAGCAATTTGGACAGTGGGCACCTTAAACAACTCCGGGCAACAATTAGGATTAATTAATTCCACCCCTAACACCCAAAAAACCACCCTCAAGCACAAGAATTGAAATAAACAACACTTAGCAATTCAATTTAAAACAACTAAACAATCTCTGACAAACGAGAGGGTTTAGCAAACGTACCTGGGGGTTGGCGGCCGGGTTCAAATCAACCAGCGGCCCGCGAGGAGGAGGAATAAATTAAACCCGGAGGCACCCGGTACACCTAGGGTGTTTATAGCCAATTTACCTTAGCGAGACCTTACATACCCAATTTAAAAAATTGGGATTTTCGGACTGGTGACTGACTTTGACTGGAGTTGACCGACGTTGACCGACGTTGACCGGTGTTGACCGGTGTTGACTGTCTCCAGGTGCAGGTCCAGGTCCAGCAGCCCAGCATTAGCTTCAGCCCAGTAGTCCAACAGCAACCCAGCAGCTCCAGCACTCCAAAAGGCACCAGTCCAAGTCCAGAGGCTCTCCAGGTCCAGCAGCTCTTCCAGCAGCCCAAAAAACCTGGTCCAACAGCTCCACACCAGCCCAAAACAGCAGAAACCCACCACCCCAGCAGCAGTGGGGCCCAAGTTCTTCGTCCCTATCCTCAACGACCGAGCAGGCATTGGCTTCGATGGACGAGGACAATTCCAGCCCCGAGGTCTTTCCGGAGACGACTTCCAGGCGGACGGATGGCGGATGGCGAACACTTCCAGGCGACGGCGGCTCAAGCTGCGAATGACTTCGGCGATGATTTCAGAGTCCGGTCAGAGATCGATTTCAACCTCCAGACAGCGAACGGGATGCCGGCGAGCTGCGAGCGACGTCCACAGACTTCAATCGATGAGCTCAAGCAGCTACCAGGTCAGGCGAAGCTCCAGGGACCTTCGGCGGATGGCGGCGGACGGTGGCGGTGGCGGACGGCGGAACGTGTCTCTGATACCACTGTAATGATCGTATATCCGTCTCCGACTCAGATCTCCGACCTCCGTCAATGCCTCACACACACCACTCTAGGCAGGACCTCTTCACTCATTTCTCCTACCACGAACGTGACTCACACACACAAAGGGAAAGGAGTAGAAGAAGAGATATGCTTCAAATAAATGCACTGTAGCGGACGGCTCAAGGGGCCAAGCCCAGGTAAAAATAAGTAAAAAATAATTGATCAGATAATATATCAAGAATAAATAAGGTGTCAAAAGTGGGAGTAAAACATAGCGTGCAAGTCTTAGTGGAAGGGACGCTAGGACAATACCTCCAACATATTCAAAATCTGGTTTCCTATTTCCGAAAAACTGCCAACTACCTTAAAATGGATTTGAATTTTGTAAACTATAATAGGAAGGACCGTCAAAGCTGAATTCAATGCTTCTTGTGCTCGTTTGATGAAGGAGAAGATGTTTGAACATTTTGCATCACATGCAATCTTGCTATTTTTGACATCAAATAAAATAACCTTGTACTCAAAAAGTTTTTTTTAACTATATTGAATATAATGTCACTTCACCCATCCCCAATGTAATGCTCTCTCCGTCCCAAATTGAATTGCAAACTTTAACCGGCACAAGAATTAAGGAATGACAATAAATGATGTTTGTTTTTTACACCGTTGTCCATCTTTCGAAAAGTAGATGCCTTTAAGTTAATGAGGAAAAAGTAAAAGTAAGGGTAAATTTGTCACTTTATTCTTATTTAAATACCTAAAGTAGAAATTGGAAAATCATTTTGGGACAACCAAAATATGAAATTTTACAAATCAAATTGGAACGGATGGAGTATATCTTGATTACATTTCGAGTACATTGAAGCAATGCATTTAATGAGCTCTAACCAACCGCATGCAATCAACTTGACCCTATCAGCTTACCCGACCCACTGCATAACCCTTGAGTTTGGGCGGGAAAACCACCCTTGTTTTCCACCTCTTTTTACATAGAGATAGAAAAGTATTCCTCTGTCCCACTGGATTTTGTCATCTTTCATTTTTTTGTTGTCCCAAAAAACTTTGTCACGTTCCCATTAAAGCAACTATTTTGTGGTTCTACTCATTTCTCTCTCCTCTGCACAAACTTAAACCACACAATTTTTACTATTCTTATTTCTCACCTAACTTACGTAGTGCAAAGTCCATTGGGACGGAGGTAATATAAAAATATAAGTTTCACACGAATATAATAACTAAAATCATTGTTCAAACTTTACATGATCAAGAAATTTATGATTTATTGTACATTTATGTGTATATTTATAGTACACAGTATAATTTAAAACAAATTATGTAGATTATATATATAAAATGTAAATTAAAAATGTTAAGTTGAAACCTGAATACGATCAGGGTCGTAGTGTCGAAATGCCATCTGAAATATAAAATAATAAATGAATATATGAGTTTCTATAATAATAATAATAAAAACATACTATCCTATAAACAAATGCGGGAAACATTTCAAAGTTTTGAATCATTAACAAAAAAACTTTAATATAATACTTCGTGGACTATATGAAGACCGCTTCCTCAATGGACTAACCGGTTGGTTGAGTCAAGATAGTGGAGGATTTATCCATTTAAATAGAGGAGAAGACATTGTAGAAAAGGGGAATCTATCTGAACAAACATCGAGCTCTATCTGAAAATATTCTTATTGATTCGATAGATTATTTAGTTCAATTTATCGAGGCTTTTTACTTATTATTTTGTATTATACTAATTCTCAATACTTGTTTTAGATGAGACTAATTATTGTTTAAACAATACCCTGTTTAATCTCTTTCCTCCGTTTGGATTACTTCCGCCATTTTCTCTCACCATTTCACAAAAATTATATTTTTCTTTCTTCAAATCTATGCGCAGTGGAGAGTTGGGAAGGGCGGTGGCGGCGAAGTTACAAGAGCAATGACGACACACTTGAAAGGAGAAGGCAGCGCAACAGATTGTTTCTTCACCCGGATTGAATGGCGTGAAATAGCTGACGATAAGACAGAGCGTGCCGGATCGGAGAAGGTAAGGTGCAGCGGCGGTAGCTCTGCCAGGCCCTCCTCCTTCTCCAATCCTCCCCTCCTCTCTTTTCTTCTTCTCCTTTCTTGTATCCTTTTCTCCCGTCACCTGCTTTCCGATCGGTTCCTCTCTTGAGGTAGACAGGTAGTGATGTACGTACTTCCTCCGTTCTTTAAAAAATGCAACATTTTCCATTTTCGGTAGTTTGAAATTAAATGCAACCTTTCCATTTTGGGAAAGAAACATTAAGTAAACTGACTAGTATACCCTTTTTTATTTAAGGCACCCATCTTTCATTTATGACATTTTTTAGTTTATCCACCCACCACCACCAACTGTCATCTTTACCATCTTTACAACCGTCATCTAGTATGTGGATGTAATGAAAAGTTTGATTGATGTGCAACTGTAGCATTTATGAACTTTTTGGTTTATACGTACATTGCAGGGTAAAATAGGCAAGCATATTACTTTTTCTTTGTTTCTTAATCCTTGTGCCCAGCCTCATGTTGCATTCTTTTCCGAACAGAGGATGTATATGCTAATTTGATATTTTGCTTTAGTAACTTCTTTCTTCTTCTTTTTGCAAAAAAACAAAAATCTTCTTCTTCTTTGTAAATTTGTTTTTATGTTGTAAATTTTTCAATATTTTGTGTTGTTCAATATTTTTCAATATTTTTTTCAATATTTGTTCTATATTTATTTTTTTGAATTTCTACCGTATTTTTTGTTTCACGAAATGATAATGATTTGCAAACAATGACATTGTATATTACATTGTCATACTATGACATTGTATATTACATTGTTGTACAAGCAGTATATTAAATCACTCAGTGCCTCGACATGCTTCAATGATTTACAAAACTATACTCATTACTCACAATACTACATGAAAAATGTCTTGTGTACACGGCGTTTTACACTTTTACACGCCCGTGTACACGTTATTTAAAAGCTTTCTTTTACCGAGCCATTTACCCGCATACCGTAGGTTCTTCAATTATTTCCCCTTCTTTCATCGTACTCTCTGCTCCGTTACTCCCTTCTTCCCCGTTCTTCTTTAAGCGCTGAGCAATCAGTCCACGAGGTCGGTAGTCATATAAAGATGTCAACACTGGGGGTCGATCAGAAAGAAACAAGCATCAGCCCTCATCCGTGAGGAGCCCGGTCTTCAAACATGATAATGGCACTGTACAAGGGGTTCGGTGGCCATGTAAAGATGTCGACACTGGGGGCTGATTAGAAAGAAACGAGCAACGACTCTCATCTACGAGGAGCGGGGACGAGGCCAATCTTAAATAAGGAAAAGTGGAAAACACGTCGTGCCGAGAGCCTGGTCGTGATATAATGGCATCGTCAATGAGAGGCCGACCTGAAAGAATCAAGGAACGGTCCTCATCCGCGAGGAGCGGGGACGAGGTTGGTCTTCAAGTATGAAAAGCACGCCGCATCGAGAGACCGGTCATGATATAATGGTGTCGGCAATGAGAGGCCGACCTAAAACAATCAAGCAACGATCCTCATCCCCAACTCATTGTGATGTCATTTCATGCATCATACCTCCTTTTTCTTCATGGGCATATTCAAATCAATGCTATACTGCCCTCATCAAAATTCACCCCAGCCCCCAAAATCACACACAATAGATGGGTATTAATCAACAGCAATTCAAACCAGGACCATATCAGTGAAGGTTAGGTCTCCCGATTTAGGTTTCACAGCTGTGCATGACCTAGTTAACAATATTCACAAAGCATATCACATGACAAGAGAGTCTAGATAAGTAACATACAACATAAACTTTATCCAGAATTAAGTATTCGTGCAGACGCAAAGAGCAATGGTTTGGTTTGGAATAACACTACTCAAGCAGCAGCTCACATGAATCCACTTGGGAAGCCGGTACATAATCACTAACAGATGCTTGAAATGTTGTTCTTTCTTTGGTCCCCATGTTCTTGGCTTGAAAGACAATGTTATACTCAACACCATGACGAACCCTATACTTAGCCTTTGACACTTTCTTGAACTCATAAGCCTCTCCTGGCTAAAGATGTAAGAGCAATTCCTATGTTAATTAATATATACAAGGCAGAGCAAATTGATTTAGGCAGGGAAGAGATGTGGTGCTACATACGTGGTGATTCTGGTAATACGAGAGAGCCAATTTGCTTAGTTTAACCACTTTTACAGCTTCCTTTTCATTGTGAATGTCAACACATATTTCGGATATTGTACTGATCTCGCCGGTCCTGAGAGAACCCGTGCCCTGTTCAAAAATAAGATGTGGGCTTTTTTTAAAGTAGGTAAAAATATAAGTGAAGATTATAATTGTAATAATTTGCTACAATCTTTATATAATATAAAGTAGCAGTGTTGCTACAGTTATTGGAGGGAAAATTCTCGCCTAAAAAGTAATAAATAAATATGTAAATAGACAAGCCGTTAATTAATACCGTTAATAAATAGTATATCTAAAATATTTTATTACCAAATTTATTTGTCATAAGTGCATTAGTACACTGCAAGGTCATCTAAAGTGCCGCCCAAAGCAAAATGGAAAGATATTCTAATACCATACAAAAGTATTTGCCATATTTAAAATTTTAAATAATAATTCGTTACAATAAAAAAAAAATAATTCATTTTAATTTATAAATATAAACAATTTCTTACTGCTACTACTACAGTACTACACCATAATAATGATGATGATGATAACAATAGTAATAATAATAATGATCTTTATCTTTAAATAAGACAAAGTTGAAAAGTTACATTTTGTTGCCCCAATTTTCCTACCTAATGCATATGAAGATAAAAGAAAAGTCATTATCATAATGTTCAGCACTCCTGCCTACCATGCCAATAAGGGAAATATACCAATAAGGGAAATATAGAATTTAGTTACTACTGAGTATATATACATATGTATACGAGTACATATTATATAAAAAATTAAAAATATACTCCCAAAGGAATTGGAAATAATGATTATAATAGTTTTTAAACATTTATAGTAATCAAACAATTATTTGAAAAGTGGTAATAATTATGGTAACAAATAAATGAAACATTCCATAATTGAGCTCTACTTTTATGTCGGTCATTAGTCTAACAGTTGATTACAAAAATAAAACTATGTACGTACTAAAGATGTTTTAAATTGGACTATTACCAATTTATGATTAGACTAAATCATCCTTAAATAGATCAGATCAGATGAGATTGAAGATAATAGTAAAACATATATAAGTAAATCATCCTTAAATAGATCATATCAGACTAAATCAATTTTTATACACCAAATACTTCTTACATAACTTTCGATTTGATGCCCTTAAGTATTATTAGCAAAATAAGTAATGTTGAAATTACTTTTCTGTCTGAATTAATAAGATATATATATATATATATATATATACACACACACACACACACACACACACACACACCAGATTTGGTGCTCAAAATAGGAGATTGGAAATATTGGGAATGTCATAGATAGAGAGGTCGTCATATATATATATATATATAAGTTGTTTTTTTGACTAAATCTGTTGAATATCATTATTTTAGTTATTCTTTCACATAATGTTTTCTTTATTTTTCTAATAAAACATATTTTTAATTTTTATTCATAATTCGAAAGACTTGGCCAATTTAGTTATTTCATAAGATAGGAGCTACTTTTTTACTCAATTTGCACGTAAGCGATTTCAACGCAATAAAACTGTGAGTTATAAATGTGTGATTTCAACACAAATCAAGTAAAAAAGTAGTGGAAGCGATTATCAACAATTTTACGGAGCCTAAATTTAGATGCATGTACTTATCTTTGAACTTTATGTTATATACTAAATTGGCCAAGTCTTATGAAATAAAAAAGTAGTGTATTTTCAACTATGACTTCTGAACAGAAGAATATATATGAGACCATCATGCAATGTGTCAATGAAGATCTTTTTTATGTGTTAGTGAAGATCATGGCAATGTGTTTTTCATGTATGGATATGGCGGAACATGTAAAACATACGACATATGGAGGGCAATATCTGCTTCCATAAGATCCAAAGGTGAATTTGTGCAGGGAATCTAACTGAGCTAATAATCAAAGTAAAGCTTCTCATATGGGATGAAACTCCAAAGACACACAAAATGGTTTTGAAGCTGTAGACAGGACACTAAAAGATTTGCTTAGACTTCACAATCCTGGTAGCTTGAAGCTTCCGTTTGGAGGGAAAGTTGTCATTTTTTGTGGCGATTTCAGGCATATACTCTCTGTCATACCAGAGGCATTTAGGCAAGAGGTTGTTCGTGCTACTATTAATGTCTCATGTATTTGAAGACATTATCACATTCTCACTTTAACAAAAAACGTGAGGCTGCAATGTTATTCTTCGCATTGTAATTTTGAGGAATTGAAAAGTTTTCCAGATTTGGTGCTCAAAATAGGAGATTGGAAATATTGGGAATGTCATAGATGGAGAGGTCGTCATTGATATACCTGGTGATATGCCTATTACCACTTCAAGTAATCCTATTGCCTCAATTGTTGCTAGCACTTATCTGTCATTTCTGGAAAATATGGCTGATCCGTCATCATATAAACTCTATCGTCTTATTTTATTTGGAAAAATTACACATTAAGTACCATCATAAAACATGATTTTAAATAAGTTATTATTCAGTTCTAGATATACCCCGTGCATCGCACGGGTAATTCATCTAGTAATAATTTATATCAAAATACAAGTTAACAACTAACATAATAGTTAAAATAAAAGTATTCCTTAACAAAATACACTTCATTTATTTCTTAAACTGAATTATAAATTAATAGACTAATAACCTAATACCTGAAGTTGGTGATTTGCCAAGTTCAATTATTACAAACCATCTAAATATAATTATCTATGTACTAAAGCATTCAAACTCGGAATTAAAACCCAAAAAAAAAGAATATAAGAATTACAATTAAATACGGAGTATAAGAAATAAGATTAATTGTATAAAACAAAAGAGAATAATTAAACCTAAAATTAGACCGTTTCAATCCTACACGCTATGGTTAAGAACCAAAGGGTGAAGAAGCATGGTTTCAGTCCTAATTTCAAAAGAAAGGACAAATTCAGGGTCAGAAGACCAGACTGGATGGAGAGGACTCAAATGGTATGGGTGAAGATTTTAGAGGGTTTAGTCATATCATGACATATAGGATACTTTAAAAGCAAATAAAAGGTGTTGAAGTTTTATAAACTACATATTATATTACTCGTTCACTTCCTAATAATATCTCAGATATATATACTCCCTAGAATATCTCAGAAAATCTAGTTAATTTATATAATAGGACTATTAAAATTTGGGCCCTCAAAATTTATGAGCTCTGTGCGGTTGCAATGTTGGTAATTGCCTTGGGCCGGCCCTGGATCTGGCCAATAAGCGTGCAAAGGAATATAACTCCATTAATCAAATCGATTGGGCGATAAGGTAGTAAGAATTGAAGCATAATGATGGTACTCAATTGAAACTTGCAAACTAGACAAAGCACATGCATACCTTAAGAGCAATGTCCTCCCCCTCATCTTTCAGTTTCACACACTCCCAGACATTTTGTCGTTCTTCAGGTGATTTGTAAGGATAAATATGCGCGGTGGCTTTAAAGATATGCAGATTACCGCTGGCCTTCAGATTTTTAGCATAAAATTTTAGCTTAAAACAGGCCAGGTAAGTAAACCACCTGGTCCCACTTTCAGCCCTCACGAACTCGTAAGATTCTCCTGCCTAAAGAGACATATTGTACTTGGCTACAAATTATTAAAATCGAGACAGAGTAAGATCTCAAGGAGATGCATTTAGGTGATGGGCATTTATTAACATACGTGTTTTTTCAGGTAATCGGATAGAGCCAGCTTGCAGAGTTCAACAACTTCTTCACCTTCTAAGTCTGCATGGGAAGGTCTGGAATCTAGGGCCTACGAAGGCAGCAAAAAGTTAGACAAAATTATGAATCCTAGAAATACAATATTTGATAAAATACTTAAATATTTAAAGATAGATCTGAAAAGAGTAAAATACTGAGTACTAAGATATTGAACGAATGAATTGGGGAAAAGAAAAACAGATGCTTACGCTAGATCCTGATCTTCTAGCACCACCTGATGTAGCCATGGATTCGGCTCCAGCTTCCTTATTTCGTCCGACACAATCCATGTTTTCGGTCTTCTGACTATGATCCAGTTTTGGTTTTTTCTGCTCCGGCTGTGTAGCCGAGATGTGGTCCGCGGCGTCAGCCATCGCTATTCGATAAAGCCATAAAGGTAAGGTTTTCGTGTTTGCTCAATGTGCATACGCTATATTTTACGGAGTAATATGCTAGGCGCCCCTTCCGATCGGGACGGAAGTGGTGCTATATAAATACGGAGTATTTGCAACACATTGTAAAATTTTTACCATCTTTTTATGCTCACATTGGAATATTGGATGATGAATTTGATGATTAAAAAAAATATTACCCGCGTCTCGCTCAACTTTGCCAAGTTGATGTTAGGTGGGAAATTAGAATAGTAAAATTAGGGGTGAGCATCGGGCGGGTTCGGGTCGGGCAGGTGGGTGAACCCAATACCCTTTCGGGTTTCGGATGTGTAATATGGATATCCTACCCTATGTTTTTTTACTTAGATATTTTCGGGTTATATTGTATTTCGGGTAGGGCGGGTTCGGATCGGGTATCGGGTTTAGTCGGTTTCAAGTTTCAACTAAAATAATTTGAAATTGCAAAATAATTTGTAATTTCAACACCAGTAAATCTAAAATATTACAATTGCAAAACATAATTTGATTCTCATACGGCCATAAATAATGTGAATATTACAAAGTAAAGAGTAGGGGGATCAAAATTGTAACAAAGAGTTTTAGCATATTACAAAATACAGATTACTGAATTACACAGTTCATTAATCATTAACACACAAAGTTCCAACTAGTCAAGTACACAAAAATGCAAAAATGCTTGAAGACTTTGAAGTTCCACAACTATCTTCCACAGTTTGAAGTTTCCACCTGCATAAGAAAGTTAATGAACACATGGAAAGCAATAGACATGTAGTAGAGTAGTACAATATGTCAATAACAACTTAACAAGGATAAGTTAATGAAACAAATCAGAGAAATCATTGATTCACTGACTCAGAATGTTTGTTATCCTTCACAAGGAATATAGGGGCAACTGCTACAATTTCAGTTAAAACTTACATGTTATGAACTGAAAGAGCTATACCAACCTTAACCATACATTCAGTAATGTGTGGAAGCTTCATCATAGCCAATGAAAATTAATAGAAATGATAGAGTAAAGGATTAATGGGATTATGAGATACTTACACAAAACCTGCAAATCAGAGCAAGGTACAAGGGTCCAGGGATAGTTGACACTTGGCGGCATGTGCATGCTTTCCAGAATGACAGAATCATGCTCATTCAAATGTAACAAGCGCATAATAGTGTAATACATTATACTCATATTGGCAGCAGATCCAACACCAAATCATATAGCAATGTACTCATGTTTCATACACATTCAAATGGAAAAACAAGCATATAATGGCACAAATCAGACATTTCATAGAGCTCGGAATGCTTATTATCATTCACAAAGGAAATAAGGGGCATCTGTTATAGCCTACCATTTCAGTTGCAACTTACAAGTTACCATTCATGAACTAAAAGAGCAATATCAACCCTAAACCCTATATGCAGTACCAGTAATGAGTGGAAGCTTCATCATAGCCAATGCCAAATCATAGAGTCATGTATTCATGTTCATACACATTCAAATGAAAAAACAAGCACATAATGAAAGTATACTAAGCTTCCACATTGTTAATACTTAATACCTCACAGATAAGGCAAGTACGCAACACATGAATAAGAGTTGTACATATGCAGTCAGTAAGAGTTTCCACAGAGTTCATATCTCACAAATAATAACCATAATATGTAAGTCTGGAACAATCAGCAAGCTTATTTACAGAAGGATAAAAGCACTTTGCTTTTTCACTTCTCTACAGACTCTGAAGAACCCAGTTCACTCTTTGTACTCGTTTGAGTACTAGAGTACAAAAAGGGTTGTTCAAATTAATCAGAAGGCAATTATGTAAGCAACTAAGCAACACATGATATATTGATAGGTGTATATTAAACTTCCACATAGTTTATGTACATGACAACCTGTATAGGTGTATAGGTGCATATAAATACATCACTGCCACATCTCCACACTAGCCAGTACTCAGTAGGCAAGTAGGCAACACATGAATAAGAGCTGTACATAAGGAGTCAGTAAGAGCTTCCACACTTCATTATATAATATATAGCTTCCACACTTCATTCATATTTTTAATAAACATATTTGAAATTCTGAATGCATTATAAGAGTTGTACATATGCAGTCAGTAAGACAGTAACTCAATCAGGACATCAGGTGTGTATATATACTAATATAGATCAACAATTAACAGGGACAACTGGACAAGCAAACATTCGAACAGATCTGTACATGACTGAACTCAGAAATCAAGTGTGAACTCAACAGTCATTCAGTCAACACGCAAGTTTCAGAAATATATACGAACATCACAAGTTCACAACTGAAAACTCAGAACATGCCATCATGAATGACTAATCATACCATTGTACAAACATTTTAAAGTATTTTATACCTCAAAGGCTCGAAGAAGAATGATTGGGAATCAGTCTCAAATCTCAAGTCTCAACTACTCACGCTGGGCTAGAAGACTATCAAGGCTTCCACACTTACACTAGGTTGAGGACTACAGCCCTACAGCGATGCCAACGGCGGTCGATGAATTGAGAAGTCAGAGTCTCTCACTCCTCTGAGGCTCTGAGTCGTAGAGAGTGTATGTTAGGGTTAGGGTTAGCCGCTTAGAGAGTTAGAGAATAGAGATAGAGTGTAACTTAGGGTTATGTGGGGGAAGGGATAACCGGATAAGGGTAATATGGCCTTATGGGTTATGGGCTTGGGGGAAATGGGCTTAGGCTAGGTCGGGTTTTCGGGCGGGTCGGGTAGGGATTAGGAGAACCCTACCCGCTGAGTCTCGGGCCAAGCAAATCGGGCTGGCGGGTCGGTTTCAAGGATTCGGGTCGGGTCAACCGACCCATTCTTAAAAATTCGGAGTAATTCGGTCGGGTTTTTCGGGTAGGGTCGGTTTTGCTCAGCCCTAAGTAAAATTTGTGTTGTTAAAGTTTGTGCAGAGGAGAAAGAAATGAACAGAGCCACAAAAACATTGCTTTAAAGGTAAAGTGGCAAAATTTTTTGGGACAAACAAAAAAGGAAAGTTGTCAAAGTCCAATGGGACGGAGGGAGTACTATTTTTTTACTTTCAGACATGAAATATTTATCTATCTTATTTCATATTAATCACTTTATTTTCCACACCGTTCTTCTTTGGTAAATTGCCCCAAATAAGAGTAAACATGTTTTGGAATTACAAATATGTTGTCATTAATAATAGTAAATATTGTCATCTTGAATACGGAGTACTGCAAGTATTTGGCAATAATGACTACAAGATGACAACAACTATGTTTTTACTTGGACTGTATTTTGGTGTAGATCAGACAAGATTAGATCAGACAAGCATTGGGTGAAAATAGTTATTTATATATTTGAACATGGGTAATTTGGTATGTAAGGTGTTGAAGTGTGGTTAAGTTCCTAGATGGTGAACATGATTTTAAAATCACCTATTAAAATCATGTTTAAAATATCCCTTCAAATTTTGGATATTTTATAATCATGATTTAATAGATGGTTTTAATAGAAAACATTTATTATAATTTTTCAAACATATAGGATAATTTAATACCCCTTGGCTAATAAAATTAAACATGACTTTAAAACGTTATTTTAAAATTGAAAACAGCTCAAAATATGTCATGTTTAAATAATTTTAAAATAATTTGGTAATTTTATTAGTAACAAATATACACCTATTATTATTAGCTGCATTTTAAAATCCTGTTTAATTTTAAAACAGGCTTGGTTGAGTTCCTAGATGGTGAATTCCCAAGGGGCATGTACGCCTTTAAGCCGTTCGAAAAGTTGATCTCAACAACTCTTGGGTAAGGCTGAAGAAATTAATTTACCAAATTCAAATTGTTACAACAAATTTTCAGTTTCCTGATTAATTCCATTCCATTTCAGATGTTGTCGGAAGTATTGTTCTATTCACGTACCACCACCACAAGAGAACGATGGTGATATTCAGAATTTGATTGAAGTTGTGTTGGAAGATCCTGAGTGAGTGAATAAATTGAAGTAGTCCCTATGTATACTTGCGTGTCATGGTAATAAACTAAGTAAGTGTATTTGCAGGCAAAGGAGAATTCGATGCACACTTTGTGGACGCACTCTTAGAATCATACAAAAAAACGCCTAATTTCATGTTGGCTGCTATTTTATTTGTGAAGCCGAGAATATACAAAGGTAGCAGTTTTCAAAGTGTGTTGACTCTTGATGACTTAATGTGATGACCTAATGTCTTGGTTAAATAAGATTGCACATGTTTACATGTCATGAATATTGTTATACAGGAGAAGTGGTGGTTTCAACTTCATACTTTGCTTCAAAGTTGATCATCAATGGGAAAGACAATGAGCTGGCAGAATACAAAAACAGGTGCACATCACTTAATACTTGGTTTTAAAAGGCGAGAGGCGTCTTGAGGCGATTTCTTTGATTTACCCGAGGCGTGAGGCGCAAGGCGGTGAGGCGCGCGCCTCACGGATCTCAGCCACATTTCCATCGTTAAATATATTTTTAGTACTTCTACATGAAGCACTCTTCTCAAAAATACTTCAAACTATTAAACAATCTTAATAAACATCATAAGAGACAAAATATTAATTAAAGACAATAAGAAAGAAGCATTTGGTAGGATCAGGTATCCCAATAAAAAAGAAACATTTAGAGCATTTGGTAACATTCCTACCCCCCCACAAGATGTTGTTTTAAACGAAAAACCCCTCCCTTAGTTACTTTCAAACAGAAATTGCAAGTGAAATTGTTCCTATTGCTAGGATCCGGTATCCCATATTTTCTACCAAGGTCTCTAGCTTCGGAAAAACCCGCGGAAGAAGTTGAATTTGAGTCCATTGACATATTTTCTACCAAGGTCGCTAATGTGCGGGCCGAACCAACCCGATGAACTGGTTATCGTTCCGGGCCTAGGCCCGGTCATGGGGGTTAGGGCGGTTCCGGTCCTTCCCATTCTTTGGAGCCGGGCCCGGGCCTTACTTATTTGATTTTTTTGTTTTTTCAGTTATTTGGGTATTTTCCTGAGTTGGGTGGGGTGTTTTGGGGGTTGGGGGGTTGGGGTAATTAGAATAGCA